CACTTCGATTAAAATTTTTTCCAAATGATTTTCTGACAATCTTTGTCGCTTATTAGTGTAGAAAATAGTTTTAAAGTGAAAATAAAAATAATTCAGGTATGAAAATTCATCAGCCAGTAAAAATGGACGAATTTGTTTCGAAAAGAAACCGAAAAACACGCGCGAATTGTCGTAAAGTTGCGCGTATTGTCTGCAAACACAAAAAGTTCCGGGTAGCAAGCGGGTGCCCGCATGGAAACCCTATTTTTGAATTGATTTTTTCATACTGAAAATTGTTCCAGGACGTTTATCACCGACTTCATGATTGGTTCAGCCGCTGCTCCACGAGCCTTTTTCCCTATCATTGGGGGTCGCCCATTGGGATTTTTAGTTTATTTGGGAATGAAAATACCAGTTATGATCTACATTGGTTTTGGATGTTTTGGTGCCATGGTTGCGAGTGTGACCCTCTTATTTTTATATCGACATCAGGTTACTGTAAACCCAAATAGTTATTTTCACTGTCACCGCTTCTTTCGAGTAGCGGTTGTTGTTGTGAACTATGCACTTTATGTGAACGTGACTGTCCCAGGATTACTTACAGCCCCCGAAGATCAGCTGGAAGCTAAGATAGAGACCCTGAGAGTACGGTAGTGAACAACTATTGTATTACTTTATACGATTTCAGATTGAACCCTGTCCAGCGAAAGATCTTCTCCACGAAAATTCGTACATTCTCCAATCCTCTTGGAGTCTTCTTTTGCCGTATTTCTGTTTCATGATAGTTTTTGTTGGTGTCGAATGTGGGTTTATGGCTGTTCACTGCTCATGGATCTTGTTTTTCTCAACACTAACTCGAAAACTATCAAGGAAGACCAGAAGAATGCAAGTGAAATTTCTTTTCGCGTTGTTGGCACAGGTGATTTATAGAGAATTGTTCGTCTGAACTTTTGAATTGTTTAGATTGCAATTCCAACTACACTGTGCTACGCTCCGATTTTCTACTTTGCCATCACCACGATTATAGATCATTATTGGCAGTGTAAGTGTAGCCTACAGTAATCATCCTGCAAGGGAATGTTCCAGTCGCCAATGACGTTTGTGTCCTTATTGTCTCCACCCATGGTCTTATATCTGCCACGTGTCTTTTATTGTTCTACGACTGCTATCGTGACCATATTTTTTACTGGATATGTTTGAAGAAGTTCAACAAATCAAGTGGCTTTAGTACAGAAAATCCCAGTAGACAAAGTATCATGATGACTAATGTTCAAGTCATTGTCACGACTTAGTTCATTTTGCACAGCAGTAAAATGAAGAATTATTTTTGTAAAAGGTCTTTTACAGGTTGTTTGAGCCCAGAATTGAGTTGCACAGACTCACTTTTGTATGAATAGTTTTCCGGTGTTTTTCTTCCACAAGTTTTTCTTCCAAAAATTAGGCCACTACTACAAAATGACCTAGAAAGCACACCAGGGTCTTGCCAGCCCATTTTTAGGCCATTTTGACGTGATGGCCTAGAAAACCAAATTTGCAAAAGTTAGGCCACCACTTCAAAATGACCTAAAAACACACCAGAGTCATCTTATGTCATTTTTAGGCCATTTTACAGCGGTGGCCTAGAAAACCAAATTCGCAAAAGTTAGGCCACCACTTCAAAATGACCTAAAAACACACCAGAGTCATGTTAGGGCATTTTTAGGCCATTTTGACGTGATGGCCTAGAAAACCAAATTTGCAAAAGTTAGGCCACCACTTCAAAATGACCTAGAAAACACACCAGGGCATTTTTAGGCCATTTTCATAAACATTGGTAGCCTAGAAATTTCATGTTAAGAAACTTAGGTCACAACCCATCAAACAACATTCAGAAATGACGCGTGCGCGCCAGTGTGCGGTTTCGAAACAGTTTCAAAAGTCGCCTGTTTCGAAACTTCTTCGAAAGATTCCGAAAGAAAAGTTTCGAAAAAGTGTCGAAACTTTTCCGAAAGTTTTCGATACTTTCGAAAAAGTTTCGAAAGTTTTCGAATGTTTCGAAAGGCACACACAGTCCTTATTCTCTCCACTCATGGTCTCGTTTTTGCCGCGTGTATCTTCTGCAGCATTTGCACCTCTAACAGCAGTTCCGACACACTAGCGCTACAGTTCTGCAGCAAGTTGAGCAAATTGTTGGAGTTCAACAATGATACAGCACAGAACCAGCATCTGTATTCCGTACACCCTCGCTCAGCTGTAGAGGAGTTCGCGCCCGCAGCAGTTGCACAGCATCTGTGCGTTCTCCTACAGGTATGCAGCAGCTGTGCAGCATCTTAGCAGCACAACGACACTCCGAATCCCATACTGCGTTCGGTTTAGCAGAATTTTATTTTTGATTTTCGAAATTATTTTCGGTCCTATTTCGATTCGTTTTGATGTTTTTGATAGCGCTCTCGTTTGTTAGTAAGCTATGTTATGATTCAGAGCTTCGAGCAAATGCGCCGAATTCGCCGTGCGACAACCCTTTCGACTTGGAGTGAACGAATCGGGACCAATAACTTAGGTAAATTTTGTAATATTTTTCCAATTTTTCAATTGTAATAGAAATTTCAGTGTTCCCTGATTAGAAAGTTGACTGAAAGCGAGTTCAGCAGATTCATGGTTAGAAGTCGGACGAAAAATCAGTAGAAAAAAAGTAAAGAGGTACGTAATGTTTTTTCTTTTCTTATGTAATTTCTTACAAAAAATTTTTTTTCTCCTACATTTTTTGAAATAGCTAAATTTCAGATTGCGTTCCATCTATGAGAACTAGGACACACGCCCAACAACGAAATTTACCAAATTTTTGAATTGTGCTCGACAGGACTCCTCGAAAATATATTAATTTCTAATTTTTTGTTTTTTTTTAAATGTAAATAGTTGTTGTATCAATAAATATTGTGAAATTAAATTGTACCAAAGTCGTTTTTTATCAGATAAAAATAGTAAAAAGCGAGGATCCGCGCGGCCGCCTCTAGGTACGATACAGCACTTGCGCAGCATCTGAAACACTTTTCCCCTACAGTTCCACAGCATTTGCGCAACAGTTTCAGGGTCGACGGGCGCCTGTGGCGCAAGTGAGGCACAACTGTTGCGGATTTTTGCTAAGTTGTTATGCTATGACTGCTATCGAGATCATATTCTCTACAGGATATGTTCGAGGAACTTCAACAACACGAATAGATTGAATACTGAAGGACCTAGTAGAAAAACTATGATGATGACAAATGTTAAAGTCACAGTTTTGACATAGTTTATTTTGCATAGAAATGAATTTTAAGAATCTTACTGTAAGGGATCTTTGACACGTGATTTGAGCACAGAATTGAGTTGCACAGACCAACTTTTGTGTGAACAACTCTTAAACGTCGCAGTTCTAAAATGTCGCAGTTCTGAAACGTCGCGGTTTTAAAACGTCGCGGTTCTGAAACGTTGCGGTTCTAAAATGTCGCGGTTCTAAAATGTCGCAGTTCTGAAACGTCGCGGTTTTAAAATGTCCCAGTTCTAAAATGTCGCAGTCCTGAAACGTCGCGGTTCTGGAACGTCGCGATTTTAAAATGTCGCGATTCTGAAACGTCGCGGTTTTAAAATGTCACAGTTCTAAAATGTTGCAGTCCTGAAACTTCGCGGTTCTGAAACGTCGTGGTTCTTAAACACGTCGCGATTCTGTGGTTAAAAATTTTGAAAAAAAAAACTGAAAATTTTCCTGAAAATTACCAATAGTTTTTGGTAAATTTACCGAAACCGTATCGGCAGCACACACTGCTTCTTCTCAAAATATTTAATTATTTTAATCGCTCAAACATCAAATTAAACAACAGGTGAATGTTTTTAAAATTGCACCTCGGGAGGTACATAATTCATTATTGCTTTTATACCCTCCATGCGTTTTGATGCCAACCATAATTGATTTTTTGACAGCTTAGCACAATGTCAAATCCTCAAGAAATAGCTCGTTTACTAGCAGAACCCACTAATTACACATACAACGAGTTATCCTTAATTGGCTCTTCCTGTCAACACATTCATATTCCAAGACTCACAGAAACCGAATATATGTTTTATCTTAATCTGATAACTTTCTTATCAGCCATAGTAACAGCTATTGCAACTTACTGTATCATTTTTCACAGCTCTCCAAGTATGGGAAAATTCAAATTTTGTTTGTTGACTTTGCAGTCTTGGACTTTTATAACAGATCTCATGTTGGCTTCTCTGGCAACACCACGAGTATTTTTCCCAACTATCGGAGGTCGACCATTAGGGATTTTTGTCAAGTTAGGGATTACTGTACCAGTTCAACTGTATGTTGGATTTGGTTGCTTTGGAGCGATGGTAGCTAGTATTATACTATCGTTTTTGTATAGACATCAGGTTACTGTAAACCAGGATAACATTTTAAAATGCAACAGATGGTTTCAAATTTGTGTTATGGTTGTCAACTATGTGCTCTTAAGTAATGCACTGCTCCCAGCATTATTTACTTCCCCAGATAGCCAGTTAGCGACGAAGATTGAGATTTTGAGAGTAAGATTTTTAGAGCTTTTCAAAATGCCTTCAGATTTCTTTCCAGAATGAACCCTGCCCTGCTAAAGACCTTCTTCATCCCGACTCCTATGTCCTTCAGTCTTCTGTAGATCGATTATTCCCATATTTCTGTGGACTAGTGGTTTTCGTCGGATGTCAATGTGCTTTCATGGGTCTTCACTGCTCATGGGTCTTATTTTTCTCAACACTCACAACAAAACTATCTAGAAAAACCCGGAAAATGCAGGCGAAACTTTTAGTCGCACTGGTGGCACAGGTGAAAATTTTTAGTGTGTGATTATTGAGGTGTTGATATTTCAGTTCGCTATTCCAACGACACTATGCTATTGTCCAATGGCGTATTTTGCTATAACAACGCTTGTAAATCATTATTGGCAATGTAAGTAAGAAATCGTAAACCTGTATTTGAAGAGCCGGCTCTTCAGGTCCAGTCCAGCCCAGTCAAAGGCAGGTAGCACCAAAACGCCCTTATATTAAAGGTGCCCTTCCATTTTTCTGAAGGCTTTTGTCTAATAAGTCTCATGGAAGCATTTCGCAAGTTTTTAAGCAAAAAAAGATGGTTTAACTATTAATTTCCGAATAAAATGTTCATTTATAATTGTGGCCGAACTTTCTCAAAATAAATTTTCTAGGCCACCAAGTTTATAGCCTAGAAATGATCTAACACTAATCTGCTTTGTTTTCTAGGTCATTTTGACATGATGGCCTAACTTTTGCAAGTTGAGTTTTCTAGGCCACCATCTTTTATGGCCTAGAAATGACCAGATGTTCAACTGGTGTGTTTTCTAGGTCGTTTTGACATGGTGGCCTAACTTTTGCAAATTTGGTTTTCTAGGCCATCACTTCAAAATGACTTAAAATGCGCTAACATGACCCTGGTATAATTTCTAGGC